AAATACTGGTATTGTAGTCAAGTATCTTCATGCCCAGATGAAAAGTTGTTTTTGTTTGTTTGTTTGTTTGTTTGTTTGTTTGTTTTTTCTAATTCATTCCAAGTCTTTGAAATTATTCTAAAGGAATATAGCCAATTAATGGAGAAGTGTGTACCCAGGGAAAACCCACACCTCAGTAAAAAATGGATGAGCCTATGGTACTGAGCATGACCTCTCTCAACTCTACTGTGGGCATGGGAAATTAAGACATTGAGGGAGGCCTTTCCTCTCTCCTTGCTCCCAACTTGGGGCTACATTTTCACCCTTTCAGGAACAGAAGGTTCTGTTGGCAATTTCCATGTTCCCTTACTCCATGGTGCATGGAGCTATATTCCAGGTACACTCAACCAAGGGTTCACTTCTTCTACCAAGCCTTCCTCATGCTGGGGAAGCAGGTCTCCCTCAGCTGTGGTAGGCTGCGGTACCCAACACTTCCCCTGCAGCCCGGTCAGAGAGCAGAGTTTCCACACTGGGCAGGGTGGCAGAACTTCCTGGGGAGTCCATTCCTATTCATCGCAGACAGAGGGTGTCTTAGTCACTGTTCTTTCGCTGTGAAGAGTCACCATCACCAAGTCAACATTTCTCAGGGAAAGAATCTAATTGGGGACTTGCTTACAGTTTCAGAGGCTTAATCCGTTGTCATCATGGTAGGTAGCATACAGGCAGACAGACATGCAGGCAGACAGACATGGTGCTGGAGCAGTAGCTGAGAGTTCTAGGCCCTGATTCACAGACAGCAGGCAGAGAGAACATTTTAAAGCCTACCCCACAGTGACATACTCCTTCCAACAAGGCCACACCCCCAATCCATCTTTTTTTTTTTTTTTTAAGATTTATTTATTTATTATGTATACAGTGTTCTGCCTGCATGTATGCCTGCAGGCCAGAAGAGGCACCAGATCTCATCATAGATGGTTGTGAGCCACCATGTGGTTGCTGGGAATTGAACTCAGGACCTCTGGAAGAACAGCCAGTGTTCTTAACCACTGAGCCATCTCTCCAGCCCCTTCTCTTAATCCTTCTAATCCTTATCAAAGAGTTCCACTTCCTGGTGACTAAGCATTCAAATACATGAGCCTATGGGGGCCCTTCTTATTCAGCCACCACTGAGAGCAAAGACAGACAAAGACATAATTCCAGCCTAGCACAGTGAATCAATGAGTTTGCTAGAACGACTTCCAGGAGCATAGATGAGGAGTTACTTCTAGGGGCATGGTTCATGTGGACAGCTGGGTCACTGAAAAGCCCACCCCAGTGTGGTGACAACTCAGGAACGTGTCAACATGGCAGGAAGTGTGGTGGCATGCCGGCAGACAGACATGGTGCTGGAGCAGTAGCTGAGACTTCTCCCCACCCAGCCTGTAGGTGGGTATCAGAGGGAAGGGTGTTTCTCCTCCAGACATTGTTTACCTCTTATTAAACCCCAGAAAGAGCCTTGTGGGACTTGCAAGTTCCTTTCTCTTTTCGCTTTGATTTTAATTTTATTTTATGTGTACGGGTGTTTGCTCGGCGGAGCTGTGCACTGCGTGTGTGCAGTGCCCTCAGAGGCCAGAAGAGGGCATCGGAGCTGCTGGGACCAGAGTGGCATGGTTGTTGGCCACCATGTGGGTGTGGGTTCTCTGAAAGAGCAAGTGGGTTTAACTGCTGAGCCATCTCACCGGCCCTGGGTCCTGTTAAGTCTGCCCAGGCTTGGAAGCTGCTTGTGAGTTTCATGCGCCTCTTAAGCCTGCCTTTTCAAAGGCTGTAAGTGAATACATGGATCGACTTCCGGGCTTTGTCCTTGAGGGAAGAAAGGGGAAGGTGCAGATCCACAGAGCAGATTTCCTGGGCACATGGCCCAGGGTTAGCTCACTTCTGAGAATCCAGACTTAGGAGACAAACAATGTCAGGCTGTCCTCTGTGGGTTTTTTTTTTTTTTTTTTTAACTCTCCCGTTTCTTAGAGGTCTTCTCGGCCTTCAGAGTCAACATCATACAGTCTCAGGAGACTCCAGAAATGAGTGAAAACAGGACCCTGTGACAATAGCGAGAGACTTGGAATGATTGTGTTGTCTTTGGGGCCCAAATAGTCAGCTTAGTGGAGCATGATTTTATTAATCTTGAGTGTAACATAACTGGGCATAAGCAAAAAGCAGATGGGGTCACTTTATGGTGAGTGTGGACCTGAGCCACGAGAGCCAATTTGGAGACAGATTTGGAAACGCCTCTGTAAAACAAGAGATTTCTCACACTTGTCTTTTATTTCTACACACACAACTTTCTCCTTCAGCCATATAACAGGCCCATGGCATTCAATGCAAATTGCTACAGTTAGCTTTCTACTGAAAAAAATTAAAGCAACCTTTTAAACATTGAAAATAGGAAATAGGAGAAGAAGCTGTGTACAAAAATATGCTTTTTTTTTTAATTGAAGAGTGAGTGCCAGTGCCAGCTACAATGCTAGACACCGAAGAGTTGAAGACAACACACAGTTCATCCCCAGAGCAAAGGAAAATTAGACAAAGAGAACATTCCAGAAAGGTGGTCACCAAGTGTCTTTCTGTATCAGGCTCGTCCAGCTACAGGAACTGGCTTCCCCTATTATGGTGATCCAATGAGGAGATGAACCATGGCAAGAGTTTTGGGACTTTGTACAGCTTGTCTTGAAGGTGCCGTGTCATTTCTCATGCCAAGTTCTCTTGGTCACACCGCTTCACCTTGGGACAGAGAGCATGACTTCTAGGAGTGGGGGTTTGTCAGAAATCACCTGGGAGGCTGGCGATCACAGCTCCCCAGGGACAGGCAGAGGACGAGAGTCCAAAGAGAAAAAAGCATTGCTTTTCCTTGACAGATCCATCAATCCAAGTCTTCATTGTGGATGAATAGAAGGCCAGACATGATGGCACACACCTGTGACCCCAGCAACCCGGAGGCTGAACAGAAGGACGACAATTTCAGGCCAGCCTGGGCCCTACAGTGAGACTGTTTCCAAAGCAAACAAGGAACAGAAATAGAATTTCTTACTCCGAGATCCCTAGTAAATCATTGTGCTTTCTAGAAGGGATGCGCGGGGAGAAGGTGATGAGTATGACAAGTTCCCCTCCTAGGCTCCTGCATGACAGACGTGAGTGCTGAAAGAAATGTCTGTTCGTGTTGACCAACTGCACCTTTGCCCGCTGATTGGAGGCTCCGTTCCTGTCCCAAACCCTGACCAACCAGATCAACAACTTAATCTCCTCCTAACGGTGAAGAGGCGAGAACAAGTTCAAACCTCTTTTCTCCTCTCCAGAAAGCGTATCGTCCTTGCTTTTCCTATGAGGAAACTGAGCTATGGGCTGGTTACTAAAGTTGAGCTTGGCCTGTTTCTAAAAAGTCACGAAGGAGAATGCGAGCCTTTGCCACCAGCCATGGGGGTCACCACAGGCCAAAGATGTAATTACAGCCTCACAGGTGATGGACTCCAGATTTATCTTTTAGACATTTCTGCTTTGCCGTAGCCATTTACGTTGTAAAGGAAGTCGCTATGGATCCACACTCGGGAAACAGAAAGCCCAGGGAGAGCATGAATGCATGTGTTACTGTCTGCTGTCTGCAGTGTGAGACAGACATGGTGCTGGAGCAGTACTCAGTTTGGTACTTTGTCCTCTATCCTCTATGACATTGACAAGCGCTCCCAAGCATAGGGTCCCTTTGAGGTTGGCTGGAATATTGTTCTCCTCCAACTGTGTGAGAGGGGAGAGAGTGGGGTGGGAAGGGCCCTGAACTTAGAGCAGAGCCTCAAGTCTAATCCAGCTCCAGTTTGCACAGGCTAGTGTGATTCAGGGATATGTCCCTCAGCTTCTTCTCCTGAAAAATGGGTATGATAACAGTTGCCAACTTCTCAAGATGGCTGTAAAGCTGTGAAATATGTGTGTAGGAGCGAAGGCCTTGGGCAAGCTAGGGAACCAGCTTTTGGACATGTCGACCTGGAAGCAATCTAACTGCCACGCTATGGTGGCCAGGTCCCTTGCCTCTTACCTTGGTCTCAAGAGGGTATTAGCCCTCTCCCCTTGAATAGTCTATTTCCTCCTCCTCACATGACTTTGTTTCCCCCTTCGCTTGGGTTTTTGAGTCCCTCTCTATGATTACAAGGAGGAGTATACTCTAGAGAACAGAGGACAGACAGTCTTGTTGTCCGACGGGAGTCTCCAAAGCTTCAGCTGCTATGATGAGTGTGGCCGCCAAGGCTGACTGGGAAGCTCAGTTCACAGTGGAGATTTGTTGTTCTAGAAATTGTTCCCAGTCCGGAGAGCTTCCTTGGGGACTGTCATATGGCTATGGTGTACTGAATAGCAGACGGTCTGGGAAGGATGTTGACATTATTCAGTGCTTGTCACACTCCAGGCAGAGAGAGAGGTGAGAGGCTGGTGGTGTCTGTCTGGCTTTGCAGAGGAGAGGGCTGAAGTTCTGGAAGGTCAAGTGAGTCACAAGCTTATGCATGGAAGAGTGAACATTTGAATCCATCACCTTTGTGCTTTCCATAACTTCATGCCAAGGGGAATCCAATCCAGTCACATTTTATAAATAGGAGCAAATACAGTACACAGGGAACCAGAATAATTATCCTGTTTTAACGAAAGGCTTTGATCACAAAGGCCTTTAGTTTTTGCCTTTGGACAAAAGGAAGGTCAAGCTGTTGATTTAAAATGAAAGAGACAATTTGTATGTGTCTCCTCTGAATGCCAGGGGCAGACGTGCGTTTTAACAACAGTTCCTCTTCAAACACGCTCTCGGGAGATCTCCGTGCCAGGCAGAGCTTCTGATGAGTAAAGGACAAGGGTCATGGTGAGATACAGTGGCCCTAAAATGGGGTTATGAAACCCTATCAGTCTGGCAAGAAGAAATTAAAGGAAACACACAGTGTTCCCAAATACATAGAAAGGGATTTGTTTCACAACTTCCCCAAACAAATTCTAAAATCCGCGTACTTCTAGGAAGCCGGGCAGCTAGCGAATGCACAGCTGCTCACAGCCACTTCGTAGCATCGTCAGAGCCCGGCCTTTCCCGAGCAAACACGCGCTTTCCTGGTAGTGATTCTTAATGTTGCTGCTAGAAGGTGAGTCACGTCATTGGTGCCCCGAGCGCTTTAGTTGGAAAAATAGATTTTATTGAGCACGAAGTCAGCTGTGGCCAGGTTACGAAGGGTACACATGGAGGAGTCACATAACAGCTCTCAAGGGGCTTATGGCCTGACCTGGAAAGAGTTATGGCTTGTGTATTAGGGTGAGAGTTAAAAATAAAAGTAGCCCAGATAGCTATGGGAGTATCCAACCTGGTGTTGGAAGGTCAGCAAAAAGTTCCTGGCTCGCTCAAGTGTTATCTCAGTAAGGCCCCAAAGATGGGGAACAAATGGGGTGGATGTATTCTTTGCAGAAGTGGGGAATGTATGGAAAGGAGCTGAAGAGAATAGGTATATTTGGGAAACTGAAAGAGATGTGGCTTGTTGAGCTAGCTGAATGCTCAGGCAGAGAGTTGCCTGCCGCGCCGTGTTAGAGACTTAAGGATCACCCCAACTAACCATGAAGAACGAGGGGAAGATGACCACGTGTGTTTTTGAAAGATCATAGTACTGGGCAGGTGTATTCCAGAAAACCTGTTGATTTGGAGCATGAGATACGGGGTGGGGACAAGAACAGAAGCAGGAAGTTGTAACCATGGTTCATACCCTAGCGGGGCATGGTCTAGTCCAAGTCGCATCACCCGAGCTGGGAAGGAATAAACCAGTTTAAGAGCTCCCTAAAGATGTTATCAGATCAATAAGATTTTGTGTTGGGCTCAATGTGGGGATTATGTAGGGAAATGGTCCAGGATGAGTGTGGTACCCGGGTTTCTAGGATGTAGATGAGATCAGTTCCTTAGCTACAGGGCACTGCAGAAGGAGCTAAGTTTTAGAGAAGCGTTAAGGAGTTGTATATGAGTTGCTTCTCTTGTTGCTGTCAAAAAAAAAAATAGCTAACAAAAGCAACTTAAAAGAAAGATTGATTTTGGTCTTCAGTCCATCATGGCGGAGAAGGCAAGCGTGCCGGAGCAAGATGCAGCTGGTCACGCTGTATACACAGTAAAGAAACGAAGTGATGCTTTCTGGTCCTCAGCTTGTGTTCTCTTTTGTCTTCCTCCAGCCCATGGGATAGGGCCACTGCCATTCCAGGCAGGCTGTTTTTGCTCAGCCTGACACTGTTGGGCACACAAACACAGATGTTTACGTGGTGATTCTACGTCTAGCCAAGGGTGACAGTGAAGCTTCATCCACAAGCTGAATTTGGAAAATGATGCTGGAAAAGTGTGGGGCGACCAGATGGAGCTTTTCCATGAGCACTATCAGCAAGACTTAGAGGATGCCCATGACTCCATGGGTCCAAGGGTCTGGCCATTTGTGTGCTGTAAACCATGGCCCAATGACACTCATAGGTGCTAGCAGAAGTGACAGAGGTATGGAGAGGTGTCTGTTTAGAGGTGTCTAGATGGGAGGGTGAGGCCATTCTCCTGCTGATGCCAGGAGTCAGCCCTGTGGAGAGAATAGGTCACTGGGATTTGGGACCTTGCTCTGTGTTTGCTTTTGAGCTGGGGAACGCTCTTTCCAAGAGTAACTGAATGAGAGGCCAACCCCCAAAGTCCCTAATTAAATGATGGCTTGACTTTCTATTTTTCTTCTTTATCATGATTATGGAGAAGCAATACATATACAGTTTTTTTTTAAAAAAAAAAAACAACTTAAAATAGAATTTTTAATGTGTATCCTTTCCTGAGCCAGTGATGAGAGGTGTGGTCCTCTGTTGATGCTATGTTGAGGCAGTGATCTCCCAGTCAGTCAGGCAATCTGAGGGGTGCCCTTGATGCTCCACAGCAGTGGTTCTCAACCTGTTGCCTAAGACCATCGGAAAAACACAGATATTTACATTACGATTCATAGAAGCAGCAAAATTACAGTTATGAAGTAGCAACGAAAATAATTATGGTTTGGGGGGTCACCACCACATGAGGAACTGTATGAAAGGGTCTCAGCATTAGGAAGGTTGAGAAGCACTCATCTACAGTGAACTGTGTTTCTAAGCTGTGATGCGTCACAGTGTAGGTGTATTATAGGAATTAGTCACTTAAGGTATGCTAAGGCCATTAAGTCAGGAGCATCTACATTAGTTAGAAGTGAAAAGAAGTGTAACAATCTCAACTGTCACTTTGAGAGGATTTAGTATCACCTAGGGGTCAACCTTCTGGGCATGTCCATGAGCTTGTTTCCAGAGAGGTTTCACCAAAATGGGATGATCCAGCCTGCGTGTAGGCTGCACCATTCAATATACTGGAGTTCCAGACTGAGTACAAAGAAGAACATAATAGAATTTGTCTCTCTCTGCTTCAGTTCTCTGGAGCAATGTGATTAGCTGTCAAGGTGCCCAGTGGCCACTACAGATGCGGTAGAGAGGTCCAGACTGCAGCTGGAGTTCTCAGTCAAAACTGGAGGCATCATCTACACAGCACTGGTTTTACAGGCAGCAAAAAATGCAGGAGTTAGGGGACCGTGGAGGCTTACACAGAGCTTTCAGACAGCTTCTGAGGCCAGGCAGGGTCAGATTCCATGCAAGGAGGCCCCAGGAAGCCATTGCACGAGGCTGGGAAGGTGAAGTCTTCCATAGAACTGGAGAAATCCAGCCACTGGAGATGCCAAGCCATGGGATCTCAGCAAGGAAAACCACAGGCACTTGTGAAACCTTTCCCCTGGGACTGACCTAAGAATGAAACCAAGCCAAGAGAGAGCCTATAGGTGCTGGGGTGGCACAGTAGATGGAGTGTGGTCACCAAAGCTATATGATTCCATCACAAACCCTGTGTGTGACATTTGGTGTTGGCCCTGTTGGGTTTGGGGGCTTGCTTTGGTCCAGTCTTTCCTTGTTGTATCCCCATCCCTCCATTTTAGAATTTGAGTGTTTGGTGTGTATCATTGTTTGCTGGAAGTCTCCAAGTTGATTCTGATGTGACAAGGACTCACAGGTAAGAGATTATCCGAGTCTCAGAACAGACTCTGCTCATACATACATACATACATATATGTATATATATATATATATGTGTGTGTGTGTGTGTGTGTGTGTGTGTGTGTATAAACAATTTGGAGACTATTAAGACTTTGAGGACTCTTAGAGAATGACTAAATATGGTTTGCATTCTAAGATGAACACGAGACTTTAGGGAATGGGGGTACAACACTATCATTCAAAAGTGATGTGTTTTGGTGTCAAGTTGACAATGGCCTTGCAAGAGTTAATCTTGATTGTCAATTTGATGGGATTTAGACTCGCCTCGGAGGCAGACTTCTGGCCATGTCTGTGAGGGTGTTTCCGGGGAAGTTTAGTTGAGTGGTCATGGAGGCAGTACTGGTACATGGCCTGGGTCCCTGGACGGAAGAAACGGGAGAGAGAGAAGGGAACACAACGTTGACCTCTTCTCTCTGCGACTATGGAGAGTGTCACCATCCGCCTTGTGCTTTGGCTGCCATGCCTGCTCCACCATGATGGACTGCACCCTCGGAATGTCGGTCGGTCAAAGTCAATACCACCCGAAGGTAGTTTATCACTGAATGAGCAAAGTAATCAAGCAAAAGTGAGTGGAAGAGAGAGAAAAAGAGAGAAAAGATAGAAGGACAAGAAAACAATGAGAGAGAAAGAGACACACAGAGAGGTCAAGAGAGATAGAAAGAGACAGAGAGAGAGGGAGAGATAGAGACAGAGACAGAGAGGGAGAGACACAGAGAGATGGAGATAGAGACAGAGAGAGAGGGAGAGACACACAGAGAAACAGAGACAGAGTCAGAGAGAGACAGAGGGAGAGGGAGAGAGAAAGAGGAAGAGAGAGACAGACAGAAAGAGACAGAGTCAGAGAGAGACACAGAGAGAAATAGAGAGAGACAGAGAAAGAAACAGAGAGGAGGGAGAGAGAGACAGACAGAGACAGAGACAAAGAGAGGGATGGGAAGAGAGAGAGAGGAAGAGAGAGAGACAGAGAGAGGGGAGAGAGAGCGAGTGAGCTGTGTGATGAAAACAGAAGCCTGGGAGCTGAGCCAGCCTCTGAGGGTGAGGGTGGGACCCCTTTCCCGCCTGTGTGCACACCCAGGGCCATCGAAGCCTCCCGATAGCCAGTAACTCAGTTCACACCCCCAAGGGTGGAAGCTGGCCAGGTTGTTTAATTAGCCAAGGGATTTGGGAAACATTATTTATGTTTTCCGAGCTTCAGATTTACCCTCTGTGGATGACAGTAATGAGTGCAGAATTGTGAGGAGTTAAAAACACAAATACCAAAAGCCTTGAACTCTGCTAAAATTCAGTGTGTTATCAGTAAATGGGAATGATTATTATTTTTAGTTGCCAAATACAACAGATAGAGAAAAAAACCCGAATGTTTTTAATCAATTGCTAAACACATTTTTCAAGGCAAAGTGAATATTCTAGTTTTTAAAGATTAGCTAAAATGTGGATTATTTTTATAAGAATGTCCCAATTTTAAATGTTTGCAAATAATTAA